GTTCATGGGGTCACGAAGAGTCGGACACGACTTAACGACTAAACAACAACAACAACATGAGTTGCAAAATGTCCCTGCATGCTCTTCAACTGGCAGTTTTGTTGCCAATTGTGGGCCATTTGTGTAAATGAGAAAGCTATCTGCTTAACACATCTAGATTAGATTAGACTTTCTTCCAACTACATAACAAATATAACCTCCAATGGCAAGGAAACTGAAGCCTAGAGGAGACAGAAAGGAACAGAAGTTAAGACAAAAGTGCAGAAAACCCTTCCAGGCTCTCATCAGAAACAAGCTATCTTCTCACTTGTCACTGTTGCCATTATCATCCTGCAGAAGCAGCTCCTTATTTAATCCCATCTTCTCTAGTTCTTGGTCCAATTTATCCATCTCGCTAAATAACTTCTGGCTCTTTAACTTCTCAAGAACCAAATCCTGCAAACAGGAACAGTGATAGCAAAAACAAAACAATAATTTCCAAGAATGTTAGGAAAAAATTGTACAGACAACATGTACACAATTTTACAGTGAAGTAACAAAAACCAAATAAAGAAAATGTGTTAATCAAGGTTTTACAGATGTAGCTGCATTCTCATGAAATCTTCCTGTTTCCAGGAAGATGGTTATTAGGTGCACAATGGCTTTAATCAAACATCTATAGCTATCTGATACCCTCTAAATCTCTTGGACGTCACTTCTCATGAACAGTGAGGGGCTAGAGCAGTTGTAGCCCAACATACCTGAAGAGCAATAAATATCTTTGAACTCAACCTTCTATATTTGGATGATCATCTCTCAACTTTTATACAACACCTATGCTTTTTCCCTAAAATAAAGCAGCTACTTTGTGGTGAGCAATGATTAAATGAGGAAGTCTACTGTAATTTCTCATTTCATTCAAATAAAGGGAAGCATTATCATCAGTCATGGAACATCTGAGTATATTAAAATTAACTTGACTGTACAAAGTAATAATCTGCCCTATCCGAAATTCCCATAGCTCATACAAATATTGATTTATTGATTATGTGCCATCATACAAAGAGGCTCCATGAATTTGCAAAAGACTTGTACATACTATATCATAATAAACTTGAACTGAACTTTAATGTTAAATAAATCGGTGCCTTTAGTCAGCAATTAGCTCCCATGGACTATACAATCAATGACCGCAAGACACAGAAAATATACTTGCCACCTACAATTCATCCTATCTCTTGAGGCTGCAAGTTATAAAGCTTTTAATTGCCACATCCTGTTTTCCTAATTCCTCATCTGGATGGTAGGCAGTAAAATTATGCTTACCTCTCGCAGTGTAGCTAGTGTTCTCTTATCAATCGTAACTTGCTTCTGGAGATCTTTATTGTTCTTTTCAAATTCCTTCATTTTATTTGATGAATCTCTGACTCTAGCAAGTTCTCTTTCTAAAATTTTGTACTCCTTCTCAATTGCTGCTAATTTTATAGTATTCTCATCCAAATTAGCATCTTTTAGCTCTACTTGCTGCCACAGTCTCTTTGTCTCTTTTTCCAGCATCTTTTTGTCTTTATCCAACTGGAACACTTCTTGCTCCAACAATTTCTTCTCATTTTCCAACCATTCCACCTGCTTATTTGAGATCCTCAATTCCTCTAATTTTCTCTGAAGACTTTGATTGTCATCTTCAACACCCTGGAGTTCTTTTTCCAACTGTTGAACTTTTTTATTGCTACTTTCTAGAATTTGCTGCAGTCTTTGATTCTCTGCATTCATACTCTGGTAACTAAGCTCCAACCTTTCTGATTTCTTGAGCAGAACCTTCAGCACAACTATGTTTTCTTTAAGTTCCTCCTTTTCCTTTTCTAGCTCTTTATTTTCTGCCTCTATCTGGGCTAATTTTGTACTGGTGAATCTCATAGTCTCTATGATTTGCTTGAGCTCTGCATTTTCTTCATCTAGCTGTTTATTGTCCTTTTCTAAATTTTCCAGCTGGACAGAAACATTGTGCAAAATATCTAGAGACTTTTTCAGCTTCCTGTTCTCTACTTCCAGATCCTTGTTTTCTTGTTCAAGTTTTTCTACTTTCTCAGTGGTAATTTTCATGGTTGTAACTTTTCTGGCAAGCTGCTCATTCTCCCTCTCCAGCCGATGAAGCTCTTTGTCCATTTCTTCTACTTTTTCTACTTTTTCTTTAACTTGCTCAAAATCTTTTTGCAACTGCTTCTTCTCAAATTCAAGCTTACTGAGCTTGCTATTGCTTTCAGTAACTGTCTCATGAAGTATTTTGTTTTCTATTTCAACGTTTTTCACTTTGGCCTCAGTACTGACTTGAGATCTATGTCTTAGAGACAAAACCACTTGATTCAGATGGTCAGTTTCTTTTTCTAGGTCTTTTATCTACATTCAGAACAAAAACAAGATAATCCTTTATATACCAGAAATGTACTCTTGCAGATTTCATATTAGATAAAAGAAAATTTGGATTCATCAAATGAAATATAGATTGTTTTAAACTACATTACAGCAAAATGTTTATCAGGAAAAAAAAGCTGTTGTTGGATTAATACTTTGTGTTTTGTTTTAATTATTCTCCTAACACTATGAGCCACATGATGCTTCTATGACACAAAGGCTAGAGGAATGGCTGAAGGCATTATGGGGTTGCTAACATCAAGGATCAGAAGTGTCAGGATGCATACTCAATCCAAAATTCAAGCTCAAGAGAAAAAGATGGTCCAATTAAACAACCAAACATTATTTCAAACAGATAAATCCATCAAATGATATTCCAGAAGGCATGCCTATTTAAGTCAGGTATGCGAGGAAGCAATTTTTGGCACTTCTGAGTCAAAGTATGAACTGAGCTGTTTTGACTGTTTTTTCTATCCACATATAGTTATACCAGATAATATCTAACAAAGCACAGTAACCTCAGCATGCGTCAGTATACTGGGCATTGCATGTAACTCCTAGTGGGCGGGATGCAAGCAATATATCTTTGTTTGTAAGGGAGACTTGCACAGACTAATGAGAGCATCTTTGGGATAAAAGTGGGCTTTGCTGTACTTATGGCCAGTGGTGTCCACCAGGGAGCAGGGTGTCAAAACAGGTAAGATGGTGGTCCCAGCAATGTGACTGAAGCCACATATATTGTATGTGTGTGGAGGTCACACATACGTTCAAAGAGGCAGGGTTTCTATTACACTGCTATGACCATCATTTTGCCTGTTTTGCCCCTACACCTGGCAGATGCTACTGCTTTTGGCCATACTGGCTAAATATATGAAAACTAACCAGCACTGTCCTTACTATTAGCAGGGAATACTCTCTGTTGCATGGGTACAACTAAGATTGGAAATGTAGTCTATACCTTCTCTATTTACTAACCAATGTAATTGGAAAGCCTCAGTTGACTAAAGCAGAGGCCCATCTGATGAGGACCATGGCATATGGAAGAGTACAACTTGGAAAAGTAAAAAGAATAAATGCTCTAAAAGCATGAACTAACAAATGAAATAAAATTAAAGACAATCAGCATTCTTCTTAGAATCTAAATGAATTTTGAAGAACCACTGCCAAGATAAGGAACCTTATGACCTTCAGATATTTTTGGTCATCCTAAAATTTAGTTATGCTAGCTGTAGCACCTCAGTGTTGCACTCCAGAAAACTGGGAGGATACTAGGTCCATAATGTCTGGTGTAGATATTAAACTATATGACAATGGTCTGACCTCTAACACAGCCTTTTATATCAATTAGTAATTGAACCTATTCAAAACAGCAACAACATTGGTGCTGCAACTGTCTCATTGTCAGCATGCAACAGTTCATGCAACTCACTTATACCTTTAGCAATGTCAGCTTAACAATCACTCTAAAAAAATATACTGAGGTAACTGAAAACCAGAAAACCAGTTCCTGGAGAAGTCAACATTTCAACATATTTAAATATATTATGAGTATGAAAATAAAAGGGTAAACTGCTTCATATTTTCATTCTGCTCAGTTCTTGAATTCAGCAAAGACATTTCTCTACCTTCCGTTACATTTGTAAGCCAACAATTTTCTAACACACAACTGGGCATATTTTAGGAATAACATTTCAAAACTTGCATCTCTACCTGTCTGTCTTGATCAGCCTTTAAGGCCTCCATTTTATCCTTAAGCTCTTGCTTTTCTTTCAAGAGTTCCTCACTTAAAGTCTCCAAGTCTTGATTACTTTGCTTCTCTTTTTCTATCTGGTTTTGCAGTTTCTCAATCTGGATAGAAAAGTTATCACAATATATTTTATGAAACTCAGAAGAAACACTGTTCACACAGAAGGACATTTTGAGAAATTAAGCATTTTAAACTTCATCAATACATTTGCCTAAACAGTATAACATAACAGAAATAAAATATTTTGGCTTCCACCTTCTTCAGATGCTGCGATGAATCAAAGGGTATTCTAAACCAATATAACAGCTACCTAACAGAGAGGAGGTGGCATTTCTAAAGTATGATATTTCTTGCATGAGCATTATTTTCTGGAATCTATAACAACCTTGTCCATATTGCTGTTTGATGCTACAAAAAAATAACTCTTTTTACCTTCTTTACTTTCCCCAAAGCACTAAATATAGGTGGTCCCCATGTTATGTAATTATGACTACTGTGAGATTGTACACAAGGAATGTAATACAAGGAATCTGCCTAGTTCGCATATGTACAAAACAATGGCTGGGTTTTTACACATTTTCAAAGCAAGCAACTGTTTTTTCCACATGCACAAAATGGCAGCCACTGTTTGAGTATTGAGTATAAATGGCTTCTATTTTTGAGTATGTGCAATTCTACATTTATTGAGTATAAATGGCTTCTATGTTTGAGTATGTGCAAACATGATAGCTGACCTACACAAAAGATGGGGCAACGAGATCAGGAATATTATATAGTGCTGTAAAATGGGGAGTGTCTGTATCTAATTATAGTTTGCAGAAGCACCCAATGGTTGAAAACATTATTTTAACCTAGAAGTGTCTTTAATATTAAGTGTAGAATATTTTATCCTCATCTGCAAAGTTTCACTGTGCTTTATTCAAAAGGCAGGATCCTCCAGAAGACATTTTTAAGCATTTGCAAGAATATTAATATGTGCTACAATATACTCAGGTATACTATTATCTAAATGTGTAGCTTAGGTTCACAAGATTGATTGAAACTGCAAAGAGAGAGCAATATAAACAGTTTTTAAAAACCCAAACAAGGCCTAAATGCACAGCCATGGCTCAAAGCTGTATTATAACACACGTCCTCCTTCCTGTGCCAATAAGGTAGCACAAGAAGGTAAGGCAGCATAAGAGGAATCCGTTCTATATCTCCTTCCAATGATAACATGGACTCTTAGGAAAAAAATGGGCAATTCAGATGAAGCGGCAGCAAGGATGCTTCACATAAGATCTAATACTGACGACATGCACTGCAATAGCTTTCATGATGCATAATGTGAGAAGAGAATCTAATATATAATTGCCTTTTTGATCTCACACTTTGAAAAAATCCAAAATAGGGACATTCCTGGGGTTAAGAAGGGTATGTTCTCTTTGATCTTCTACATCTTTTTGATAAATAAATTGGTAACTAGTATTGCTCATTGTAAACAAGTGAGTGGGGAAGGAGAATAAGGAGTGAAAACTTCATATGCCTATTTTTCTCCTCTTCTCTGAAAAACTGAAGACCTGGTTTTGCCATCATGCATGGGGTAGGGATGGGAATAGTCAGTTTTGGGGATGGCTGGTTCCCTAGTCTTACCTTTGACTGATATTATCTGGTCACAGGCTGAAAGAAAACATATACAAGTATGTGAAGATTATTAG